CTGTCAAATGACTTTTTTTTTAACGGGCAGATATTTGACTTTTTTCGGAGTTACCTGGTCTCTTGTTTTCTTTTATTGAAAGACAATCTTTGTCTTGTTCTTATATGTTTAGTATGAACAATCAACTAGAAAGTAATGTATTGTACCTCTGTCAAGATATTTAAGATAAAACATAATCATTGAAAGACAACATCAAAAGTTACTGACTTTATTCACATTAGTTTAGTAAGTAGTAACTAAGTTCATACTGTCTTGCCTTTATGCTAATCTGATTCTGTAGAATACAATATAATGCGATCAGTGACCATATCTGCGAATCATTTAGCAATTACATAGAACTTGGTTTTAATAAACCACTAGGGATATTACTCAGCTGTCCAAATTGGAAGTAAGTTGTACGAGATTGAAATATCAGTCAGCCACAGGCAACGAAGAACATGACACATATGTGGATCAGTTCAAGATACCACTTCATATCACTACAGCAAGATGAAACTATCAGAATAAATCCTATAAAAGTAAAATTAGCAAGTGTCTATGATAGTAGAAAAGTTTACTTACTCCTGTTATCCCTCGTGATGGAGCATAAGCCGCCCATTAGCACTCTCTATCCAAACCTGTTCTGGGCAATACTTTACAGCTCTTTCCAGTTGCTATCCATCTTTTTCATGTCTGCTGTTTCTCGGTGCAGTGTGTTCTTCGCACTTTCTCTTCTCCTCTTCCCTTCACGATTCCGAGTTAGGGCTGGCCTCGTGATGCAGTTTGGTAATTTCCTCAATGTATGTCCTATCCATTTCCATCGGCTTTTCCTAATTTCCTCCTCAGATAGGAGCTGGTTTGTCCTCTCCCACAGTAGGCTGATGGTGATGGTATCCTGCCAACGGATATTGAGTATCTTGTATAAACAACTGTTTATAAATAATTGTACCTTCTTGATTGTTGTGGTAGTTCTTCACGTTTCAGCTCCGTACAGTAGGACTGACTGTCTTGACGTTTGTATTGAAGATTGTAGCTTTGATATTGGTTGACAGACAGTTGTTTTCAGTTCCATATATTATTCAATTGTATGAATGCTGCCCTTGCTTTGACAGGATAAATTAGGGATTGACAATATGATTTAAAAGAAATGAATGAATTTGCGGAATAAAAAGTATAATATATATTTGAACTACAAGATCTTAAGGAAGACAGAGTAAATGTATCGACGCCATTGTGAACTGTTCTGATCAGTGTATCTTACAATTAGTTACAATAGTTTCAATGACCTAACTGTCTAATATGCATCTACCAGCATGGTTTAGTCACAGCCTGGCTTAACTATCCCTAGTTTTCTTCCAACCTAATTGTGGAATGGCCAAATACTCACTTCGAGATAGAAGGTGGTCGGACATGTACAATACATGTCTAAACTACCTCGGTTTATAAAAACTCATTACCTCACCGAACATCTTGCGATCTTCATCTAGTACCCTGCTTGTAATCTCGGTACTGCTCATTTGGTGCTCCCTATATATATGAAAGTTGAGTACTTTACCACAACGCTTACAACACTACGTTATTAGTGTAGTGTAACTAATCCGATATTGACTTGTAGTTTACATGATATCAGATTATTCGGAAACACTGGACATAGATTCTCTGATAGTTGGTATTCGTTAGCAAGATTGATTTTTACTCTATTTAAAGAACTGATTTTACATGTGAATGAAGCACTGCTAATCAACCTGTTGAAGTGTGTACAAACCAATCAATAAAGCACGAAATTATACAATATGAAACAGAAACTCTGTTGTTAACTAGCAGTAATTCATTTCATTATTTGATGCACATTATACAAGCATGAAGAATGTTGTATTATTGTATTGTATTGATGAATTCAACCAGTAATGATGAAATAAATAAACAAAATTCAATTCGTTTAATATAGTTTTGTTTATTATTCGATTGAAAATGGATTTCAATTTAATCTGCCTTGTGTTTTATCGTTATTTTGTAAAACATTGTTCCTGTTTTCATTGATTTTGTTTCTGGATTCATGTAGCTCACTCTATCCCTTCACCATTAATCTGTCTGAGTTATATATATATATATACATATATATCATACGTGTGTATGAACATGGTTAGATAGGTTTGCTCAAACGCGTTTCTTCAAGTCTACAAAACATGTAGTCAATCTTGTTTGTATGTTGTTATCACGGTTTTCTTCTTCTTCTTCTTCTTCGGCAATGTATTACAGAAAGCTAAAGCACGAATTAGAATTTTTAGAAAAAAAAAAACAACTAATCAACCCACGTTACTAAATATTATTAATAAAATTGATGAGAGTGAATTATCTCGCATTCTCCTCTCATATTTGCCTGTCCGTATGCCTTCTATATTCTTCTTCTTCTTCTTCTTCTTCTTCTATGATAGACATTCGGTGATGATAATTTAATTACTCTCATTATAAGTCATAGAGGATATGTTAGATGAATGATGTTTGTAAGCTTTTTCCCGTAAAAAGATTTGGATTCAATGTAACGCATCAACTGTTACTATGTATCATAACATGTGACATTTACTACTGGCTAATATGAACGAATAGTAGTATTTCATGTTTAAACTATGATTATTCAAATATTGATTTATTGGTTTTCTGTGATTTATCGCTTGGATTAACAACATCGCTCATCAACATTCAGTAGTTCTATGGACTGATACTTGATGTTTGTTTGTTCGTAATTTTCTTACTATTTATTCCTACTCTAACATTCTTTGTCAGGGTGTATGATGGTTGAGCACAGGTAACGTTCATGACCATACTAGTCAATGAAGATACTCAGTTTCACCAACTGATTCTTCAGATGTAACTAGTACCGCATTGGTCACTCGGCGATTTGAACATACTTGAGCAATGCTTCTAAAGCATCTATGATCTACTTTCGTAAACCATGTTTAACAGCCCTAAAATACAACAGACCAGACTGTTGTACAATATAATCGTTCTTTGGTTTGTAGGCGGACATCTCACCTACACTACAGATCAACAACTGAATCTATTGATATGAGATCGATCTCTGAAAATCTACTCAAACTAAGTATTATCTTCAAATGAATGGAAGAAGTTAGTTGACCTTATCTGTATTCTTATAGTTCAAGGTTCGTTTGAGTATCTTGACACTATACATTGATATTTTCTCTATTAAAGTTTACTCCGTTGACTACATCACAGTTTACAATAAGTTAAGTTTTAAGCATTTTAACTAGATCATAACACACCACTCTATGATCTGTACTAGAAATCGTAATGAAGTTTTCAAACTCGCATCACCCAGTTCTGAGAGTTACATTTTCTGCAATATTTATCCCTTTACAATAAGAAGTCGATTTCAGTTTTCTCTTAACACTTTTCTGACAAGTTCATTTATTACTGTTAAGCATTAACTGTTAGTATAGGGGAATTAGATCTTTTCAGAATTTCAATTCAAAATTTCATAACCACGTTTCTTTTTACTAGTTGCCTCTTATAAAAACAAAACCAACTAGACCAATGTTGTTCATTTCTTTCTGAATTGTTCAGTTAGATAATTCCATTGAAAAGTAGTTGTATTCTAGTCGTTTTTTGTGCTTGCACAGCTTTAAGCTTGTTTTCATGTGACCAGTGGAGTAAAACCATGTGTGTTGTGAGGCAGTTACTCACTGAAGATAACGATGGACGGTCATGCAACATCGTGGATTGGTTGAAGTTAGACATAAATACCGCTGGATGCCGGTTCAGTGGTCTAGAGGTTAAGCGTTCGTGCGCGAGACCGAAGTTCCTGGATTCGACTTCTGTGTGTGGGATCGTAGGTGCACACTGCTGAACAGTCCCATACTAGAATGAAACGTCCGTCCAGTACTTGCAGGTTTTCCAAGGTGATCTAGCTTAAATCGACTCATGAATTCAACCGTTAAATTACTACAATTACCTCAAACCCTCATTCTGACAACAAATGTTTTTTTTTTGATGTCGAAATTTTCTTTGTCAAAACTAGCTTCAAGCAGAATATTTATTCTTAATTATCATCCAATTGATTGTTGATCTGAATCGTATGATGGAATGTGAAATTCCCGGTTTCGTCTCGCATACTGATCGTAGTCAACACTTAATTGGAGATGTTTGTTGGGCTTCTTTTGTGGAGTTAGGCTTTTCAATTTCATTGATGTTATTAATTCCCCATCTCTAGTTTTATTAATTCTCTCATTGTTGTTTGTGAGGTTTGGTGAGTCGTACTGATATAAATTTGTATCGTAACCCCTGAATTTATGTAAGTAATACAGTTGTTAGGAAACGGGTATTAGGTAAGAATGGCAAATCAATTGATGAAGCAGTGAAACCTCATCAGTTGAGATGGCTGGGACACGTGTTACGTATGCCAAACCACCGACTGCCCCGAAGCGCGATATTTCATGGTGTAGAAATAAGTTGGAAGAAAGCTAGGGACGGCCAGACCAAAATATGGCACAAATTCATGAAATCACTGACAAGTGAACTGAGTCATGTTGGTAGGTGTAGATTACCTGGTTGGGATCCGCGAGTCGATAGCAATAGTAACCGATGGTTAGAGACCTTGAATGACATGGCTCGAAAACGTTTGCAATGGCTCAGATGCATCTACTCTGTGTACTTCGAAGTTCTAATCTTCTGAATTCTCCAGAACCCTTTTCCTTTTTCTCTTTTTTCAAATTTATTTCACTGGATTATACTCCTTGAATAATATCTTCAAACCCTAATTTTTCCGATTACTGCTCATGCTCTTACTACCTCTACCACAATGGGATTTGAATCGATAACTACATGTGTGTGACAATGTGGTATGGCAACTCGAATTGATGTACATGCGACGAAGTTCTACTTTGTTACTGACTGACTGAAATGTTGTATGTCTTTCAGTCTAATATTTCAGTAAATTCGTTGTAAAATTGAGACACTTATATATATTGCTAATATAAATATTCATTATATTTAATCTTTTACAGAAGATCGTAAACTATTCATTGGTATGTTAGGAAAGCATCAAACCGAGAAAGATATTCAAAATTTATTTTCACCTTATGGGCTCATTGAAGAATGTACAATTTTACGTGATCAAAATGGTTTGAGTAAAGGTATGTTTTGTTCAAATTGTTGAATCATACAACAATTTTATGCTTTGATATAGATTTAAACAAAACAAGAATAATACTGTTTACAGAATAAAGTGAATTCGTCTTTATTCATGGATTCTCATCAGTTGCACACAGCTTGAATTTACAAGAGATAAAATAATTACAAACAAATGTTCTATGTGCTTTAGTTAGTTAAGTTGAGATGGATAATCCGAAACGTAACCAAGAATTATACTAATAGGAAGAGGCCACACAAAATGTAATTCAACGTGGTTAAGGTTGATGAGTACTTATGTTCAAAAATTAGTAATACAGAGTAGAGGATGTGAGGTTACTAATATGGGGGCGGGGCTTGTAAACGTAATAAAATCAATAAAGGGTTGCATAACTGACCGAGATTATTCGAACTAAAATCAAATTAATCTATGAGTGTAAAAAAGATTATATGGGATACAAGTATCATTTGATTACAATGGTGAAGTAAGACTTCTCTGTGTACGTAGATCAGGTCGGAAATGTTTGATAGGGATTGTGTTTGGTAAATGTAGTGAAATTAATGTTATAGAAATATTGCTGGCGTCTACTGGGATCACCGGGTAAGTAATAGTGAGGTTAGACGCAGGGTATTACGGAAAGATGGTAAATCAGTTGATGAGGTTGTGAATCTTCATCTACTGAGATGGTTAGGCCAGGTGTTACGTATGCCCGAACACCGATTACCACGACGTGCAATGCTAACCGGTGTTCGGGATGGTTGGAAGAAAGTTAGGGGCGGCCAAACCAAAACGTGGCATCAGTCCACCCAGTCACTAACTTCTAGTCTGAGCCATGTTGGTAGATGCAGACTACTTGGCTGTGGTCCACGTGACTATCGTAACCAATGGTTGGAGACTCTTGGTGAAATGGCTCAGAATCGATCACAATGGCGTCGGTGTATACACTCTCTGTCTCCCCTTAAACTAAGAGATAAAAATCGCTTCATATCTTTCTTTCTACGAACTAATTCTTTCTTCCTGTACTATATTCTTATTGCAATCTTTCTTTTATATATTACCACCTTTGAATTAACACTACTTTTATGAATCCGGTGTTGATCTTGTTGTGTTAATGAGGTATGGCAACTTGGACCGATGCATATATGTGCCTGGTCCTACGTTGTAGCTGACTGACTATGTGGCGGATGGAATACTATTCAGGTGCCCAAACTGAATGAAGTAGTTTTCTTGAAGAGCCATTGGTCAAGCCTTCGACCTAAAGTTGTAATCCACAAGTCAGTGGATCAACATTAGGTTGTGCAGTCTGATGTTAGCGTTTGATGAAGAAAGGGTTGATACACCATATGTTCCTTCAAGACACTGGAGCCGATGTGCACTATTGGTTTTGAATGTTGGAGTTTTCCATCTGCTGTAGATGGATCGTCCGTACCTATGAACGAGGATGAAGCACTGTACATTCGATTTTCGTCCTCAATTTGATAAACGGTATCCATGCATCGGGAAGTGAGTGATTAGGACTTCTGTGACAGTAGCTGTATGTGCGTGGTCATAAGAGAGCATTTCGTGAGTGTATGTGAGAGAGAGTGGACTCTCCACACCCTCAGCTGCATTTGAGGGCATTTAACACAACAATAACTAATATGTCACAAATTAGCCTACGATGAGATATATCATATAACTTATCTTATACATAGATACTTATTCGAAAATTCTGACAACTAATCGACCAAGAACAAAATGGACTATGTTGCTTATTCCTGTTTTTTCTCTCACTTCATCTTAACAGAGAAAAAAAAACAACCAAAGCTTTATATATATACATTTTATATACTGGATAAACTAATGATTGTTTCATTGTTGTTATCACACATATGTTTTGTTAACAAGAGGGAAAAAAAGTGGCAGTCATTCAATTTCATCTAGGTTATTAGACTAAATCTATATAAATACCTCTGTATTGTTTTTGTTTTTCTAACAGTTCTAATTACACACATGTATATAGCTGTTCGATTGTATCACTTTTCAATTGTCTCATCATTCGGTTATTTGATAATTATTATTTTTTCTTCATTTATGTTACTGTCGTTATTTTGATTGTACAGGTTGTGCTTTTGTAAAATACTCCTCGAGTACAGAAGCGGCAAACGCTATCGATCATATGCATAATAGTCAAACAATGCAAGTAAGTTCTATGTATGGATTTTGTTTTTTGTCATTCCATTCTATCAGGAATCAGTCGGAGTGATATATTTTTATGCATGATCATTAATATGACATGATGTAATTGAAATCGGATGCTCCATTTTAGTGCATTGTATGATTATGAATCCTTTTTGTGTTTTATTGGAGATTTAACAGCGTGTTGTTTCTTGTTTGTCCCCATAATAATGGTCTGTTGTCAGATTTAAATCTCTTTGGAACGTAATGGTGGATATGGTATTATGATAGAATCAGTATAGTGTTGTAGATTCCTTCCTCCTATGTGGGGTTTATCATCCAGTTGACTAAGTTTTCAGAAAATCATTCCATTTAATTCAGTTTAAGCAGTTCAATATCGTTATGACCAACTCTCTCTCTCTCTCTCACACACACACAAACTGAGGCCCCTACTTGGTAGAGGACTTACAGAATACATAACTGGGGACGGTTTTTTTTTATAAAATGTCAGTCAATCAATTATACACGCTTAATCACAAGTCAAACTCCACCTGTAGTCCTTCTAGAGTTACTGCAGGTTCCGGGCCCGCACAAAGGAGGAGGGTTGGGCACGGGGTCGGCAACCCCGTTGGCATTGTTTTGGTTAACCACATTATATCAGTACAGTGATATGAAATTGAGAAGGCATGTCAAATAAATGACAGTTTTATTGGTAGTAGAAAATATTAGACATATATGATATGCATAGAAAACGAAGGGTAAATTCATGGAATAGCAATGTCCATTATAATTTTGATATTTAAGATCTAGGAAAAAAACAGCCTGGCGATAGACGGCGATGAATGCAATATATTCATAAATCTTGAAATTAAACTACACATTTGCCTCATCTACCCTTGATTTTCTCAACTTAAGGGCAAATTTTATCTGGTATCATAGTTACTACCGTTGCCACTTTAATACAAACAAATGTGACGTATTAATCAAATACATTTCCTGTTCCATGAGTCAATTTTTATTGTAGAGTTAACTACTACTACTCTACTACTAGGAAACCATAATTGCAAAATATGGTTTGTAGAATATTCAACCCAATTTTGATGTCTCAAATTAAATATCCAGGATAAGTGATTACGTATGTTTGTCGTTGTGTGTGAAACTGTAACTTTGGTTACATCATAAAACGTGTTGAAAAAAAATCAGTCTCAATGATTTGATTATTCATAAACGAATCGTTCACAGTATTACGGTCTAAATGAAGTTTAAAATAATCGACATCATGTGTATGTATATTGAAATGTACTATAGGTTACTGGTCATCAGATTTCTGACCTAGTCTGGCGTTGTGTATATGTGTGTGTGTTTTTTCATCAAATCATGTCATCGATAGTATTATACTTAGTATCATTCAGATTTGCTGACCTCAACAATGCATAACTGTTATATTGATTAGCACTCGGCGTATGGATTTAGCGTGTTTGTTTAAGGATACAATCAGTTTATCTAAAGTAATCGTACGGAACGTGCTCTCTCCGAAACGTGAATATCGAATAAGGAGGGCTGTCGATAAGATTATTAAGCTTTTTTTCCTATTAAAGATTGACTTAATTATCACTATTATCTCGATAATGTTTCAATATATACCTTATCATGATGTTATTTTGTTCATTTCTTTTTTCTGCGGTTTTTTCAGGGTGCTTCTTCTCCGTTGGTTGTAAAATTTGCCGATACAGAGAAAGAACGTCAAGTTCGCAGACAGCATCAGCAGAGCACGACAAACGGTTCTTGTTCTCCGGCGTCAGGGCATTCTACCAGTACAGGGATGACTAATGGTCACTTAGATGGGTCTCATACATCAATGCAACAATATAATCAACAACAATCTCTTCGAACTCCAATTACGAATATCACAGAGGCGTCTAATATGGCGGTAGCGGCGGCCGCTGCAGCAGCCGCGGCTAATGCATTTCAACAATCACTTGTTGCGTCTAATGTTACACCAGGGTATTTACAATTCCCGGTAAGCTATAGATTCTTTATAAATATCATTGTTACTTTCACAGCTAGATCACAATTAAAAAAAAAATATATCGGCTTTTAATGATGAGAAAGTTTTGATGGTAGATTATGAGCTTGAAAATAAAAGTTTTACCGTCTAACTTCCGGGTGAAATTCCACCCAATCATTAGTGAGATTCGATTTGTGCTTATATGTGTTCTTGGAGTACATGTGTCCGATCTTTACATTTTAGGTCTGAATGTAATACATAATTGTTTAACTGGGATTTAATACTAACAGGAATGAAGACCATCTTATCCTCCCAAAACGACATCTGTGTTTGTTTGTGTGCTATGGAATGCATAGATTGAATTTATGTTTCAGGTGTTCATTGAGTGTATACTTGTCAAAAAAGACTGGTTTCTATCTAACTGTTAGATCTGTATATCTTGAGTTCCAATCCCTGGTAGGATAAGTGGCGATAAATTGACACTATTTAGGTATTTTTTAGTGGGACAATACAGCTGACTTCCTGGTCGAATAGTTATTTAGGCTTGTTAATTTTTAATTCATCTTGATTTTTGCAATAATTACTGGTGAACCTAATATAGTTCACTCACTGACTGCAGGTATATGTAGTCATCATTCCTCACTTGTATCAGATTCTCCAGCTAAAACTGAAAAGTATTTTGAACCTACAAAACTGCTACATGAAAACCGACTATCAACAAACCATCACTGTACAATTTGTATGTGATCTATGCAATGAGTATAATGATTTTGTTTGAATTTCTTTAGAAACTAGCTAACTCAAATAATCAATGTAGTTCCATAGTTATCCATTTAAACACATAAACACTGATACAAAACGGCACTAGAATACATATGCACAACATAAACCTTTCGATATGTGTGACGGATGGAGTACTGTTCAGGTGCCCAAATTGAATGAAGTGGTTTTCTTGAAGAGCCATTAGTCAAGCCTTCGACCTAAAGTTGTAATCCACAAGTCAGTGGATCAACATTAGGTTGTGTATTTTCATGTTAGCCTTTTATGAAGAAAGGGTTGATACACCATATGTTGCTTTAAGATATTGGAGCCGATGTGCACTATTGGTTTTGAATGTTGGAGTTTTCCATCTGCTGTAGATGGATCGTCCGTACCCATGAACGAGGATGAAGCACTGTACATTCGATTTTCGTCCTCAATTTGATAAACGATATCCGTGCATCGGGAAGTGAGTGATTAGGACTTCTCTGACAGTGACTGTACATGCGTGGCCATAAGAGAGCGTTTCGAGAGGGAGAGCTATCCTCGACCGTACCAGTGCATTTGGGGCTGTCAGTGGCTGTATACGCGTGGTCACATGAGAGCATTTCGAGATATATATAGAGAGTGACCTCTCCCCACCCTCAGCTGCACAAGGGAATCTGAAAGCAATAAAGGTAACTTCCATAATGAAGATGTTTTGTGTCCCATGTTAAAGTTCATTTGAGACATATTATCATCGGTATATTGTTTTCGTTTATGTAGCCCGGTTTATTTCCTACCGCTTCATCAAATGCTAGCCCTGTTCCTAATGGTTTCCAAAGTTCAGTTACTCAATTCACTCAACAGCAACAACAACAACAGAGTCAAGTAGCTCAGCAAGGATCAGCTTCGGCTTATTTTAATCCTATGGCAGCTTTCATGGCGGCTGCAGCTGCAATGCAATATGCCAATCCACAATTATCAACTGGTATAACAGAAAATCCATCAAGTCGTTCAACATCTATTCCATTACAATTGAACACGATTGTTAGTCATCCTACAATCGGTGTTGCTCATCAGCATAATCCACTTACAGGAACTAATCATTCAGTACCGAATGCTTCAGCGTTAGCATCATTGGCTGCCGGTTGTCCAGCCACTACTTTACAAAATAATACACTTCCTCAATGTGAGTTAGTTGTGGATTTTCTTTTCATTTCAAAAACGATATATGACACTTAATTTTGTGTATCAACCTGATAAATGACATTTAAATCCGGATACTTTAGACAGCTATTAGCTGTCAGATTCACTATTAAAGTATTTCCAGTGTTTTAATTTTTATTTAAATCTTGGGAATAATCATGATATTTGAGCTATTTACCAATTTTATGTGTTTCACACTTGGCTTTATTCTTCATTGTTAAATGAATAAATCCTATTCTTTTTTTGTTTTCCTTCAAAAAGTAGCTTCATTGTTCCCTTTGACAGATGTCGCTCTATTATCTCCAGCCGCTTTAGCTGCTCTTACTCAAGTTGGCGCGGGTGCAGTTAATGGAGGTTTATTAACTGAAGCTGGAGTTTCCGGTAATAACGAATTTAACAATGCGTTTGGTACTGGTTTATTAGTTTCTGCTTCACCATCCACAATATCACCGCCGAGTTTCGCCAGCATAGGTAATGGTACTACTCAAGGTCAACAACCAGTTTCTATCTCTTCATCAACTGGTAGTGTTTTACCAAATGTTTCTCTTGGTGCAACTGCTAATATCTTGGTCTCATCTCCGGGAATGGTTACTCCGGTTGCTTCTACACCTCCTACCGTTAGTCCGGCTATTTTACCGTCACCAATAACAAATGAGCCTGTAGGTTTGTATGCAGCAGCTGTCGCTTTACAGAATTCAACTGCAGTAGGTCATACAAATGCGAACGGATTACAATTTCCTCAATTACATCCATCGTTTGCAGCAGCTGCCGCCGCCGCTGCCCAGTCAATGACACCATCTCCAGTGAACACTGCACTGAATTCGTATTTCACGGAAAATGCAGCTTTACAAGCGGCGGCGTTAGCTGCCGCTGCAGCCGGTTAGTTTCTATGCTCTTTTACTTACATTGGTCACATGCTTTATGAATACCATTAATACAGTTATTGTATAAATACGGTGGTTTGTATTATCATTATTATTATTGCTCAATTGGCTGGACATTGGTTCGAAGTCATTTCCTATAATTCAGTTTGGGTTACTGTGATTACTGCTTGGTTACAAAACATTTGAATGACCACATATTTGACTTTTGTGAATTCGTATTTCTTCTTCTGTATGAATTGTGCTTATTTTTGTTTTGTTTTATTGTTATGAATATAGAAAAGTTTTAAGGATTGATGAAGGGATTTCTCAATCGTTAAAATCAATCAATAGAATGTTAATCGATAGACACTAAGCAATAATACGCTATCTGACCAGCTGATTACTATTCACGAAATCATATGTTATTGACTAGTGCTTCTCAACTGATTAAAAATCAAAGAGAAGGCCATTAGACAGAAGAACAAAGTTTATTATGTAATGAGATTGCATATTTCTATAACAAAACATAAACCCAAAATAAACATGATCAACTATTCATAGGCGATTGGAGGAAATCAGCTTGTAGTTCATTCACTTTTCAGTCAAATCTAATTGTTATACTCAAATCTTAGATATGGTGACATGTATGTATTGTTTGTGTTATATGTGTTCACACATACAACATATTGAATTTCCTGGTTCCAGCTTAATAATTACGAAATTCGGTCTTTGACAACTATTAAATCAGTCATAGTTTCGAACTCTCTTCCATCTAAATATAGTTTAGGCAGCTGAATATGGTATTACCATTATGTGTCACAGTAAACCAGTCCAACTCAGAAACTTGACCATATTACACGTTTACATTGGTCAATTGATTGGATCGTTACTATTTTGATTTAAGTTGCACTTATGTACTTTCTGTACAACATTACATTGCATTGAACAATAGAAAAGGTGAACATTTGTTGTTGTATCGTTTTTTTCTTTTTTATAAAAGAAGAAACTAAAATTGTTGAATATACGAGTTGTTAGGTTTATGTGTAGCTTTTCTCGACATGGAGGCACCAAACAGATATGCGCCACATAAATCATACGATTTATGTGAGGGGCTGGGATACTGCCCGGGTGACCAAACCAAATCAGGATTTGCCGACTTACAATTATTGCCACTCATTTATTTTCTCCTCTATATAATTTAAGTGTTTCATTGGAAGCTGTTGTTACATTTGAACAATCACTAAGAAACACATGGAGTTCAATGTCCAGTTAACGACAATGTTTTGTCCACGTATTTTAAACTTAATCATTTAGTCTTACAGATTCATATCATTTTAACCTTTGTATATGTAAAGATTTATGGTTTAAAGGTGTGTGTGTGTGTTTGTGTGTGCGAGCTTGAGAACCTGCCTCGTTTTTGTTACTAAGTGCTACGTGAACATGAAAATGTAGTAGTTGATTACTTTTTGATTTTGCTAATTTATGTTTTATTGTTTTTGCTTTGTTACAGCGTCTGGTCAGTCGTTTACTAATGATCCTATCGTTCATCAACTCTATGCTGGTCTTCAAGCCTACGGGTTAGGTTAGTTTAGTTTATAATAAATTTTCTACTATAATTAAATGTGGATATCATTCGAGTTTGTTGTTAAGCATATTCAATTGTTTTAACTCATGTTTTTCTAATGTTTTTAATGCTGATTGAGTTCTATTAGTCGATTTGCATCATTTTCTTGAAAATTATTGATGAGCATCAACTAGCGGGAATCTTAAGTTCAATAGTGTTTCCTTGATAAATACATCTAATGATCTGATATCAAAACGTGTTCACTTTCTTTTAAAAGTCATTTAGTTTAGTAGCCACGTTGTAACTTGATCAATAGAATTCTATGAGTACTATAAATGACTTGACAAACATTATATTGATTACCAACTAGTGATCTGTGGAGTCAGATCAATTGGATTCGAATCTATTAGGATAGAATCATTTCCATCAAGATTTCTCGTACGCCTTGTTGGTGAATGCTAACTAGGACGAAGTCTATGTTTTAGGGTCTGCTGTTTATTTTCTCTAACCACTATAAATGGATAACATATTTTGTTCTATTTCTTTAAGTTCCTTAAAGAAAGTGTACACATTCACTTGTGTATTTCATTGAGGAATATTCTGTATTCTGTATTCTTCACTGAACATGGTCATTAATAATAGAGAATATTTAGAGGTTGCTAGTAATTCGATCGTAAGTGTCTTCAGTGCATTGCTCATATATTTTAAGATCACTTATTTAGATATCCACTGGTAAGGCATAGTGTATTTGGTAAATATGGTAAATCTATTGATAAGGTAGTGAGTCTCCATCAAGTCAGGTGGTTGGAACATGCATCATGTATTCCCAACCATCGTCTACCTCGATGGGCCATGTCTGGTGTAGGAGTAGGTTGAACGAAAGCTGAAAGTCGCCAGATCAAAAGAAACATCAGTCCATGAAGTCATTGACAATTGGATTTGAGCTGTGTAAATAGTTTGGGTCCTTGTGATTGTCGTAACCGATCGTTAAAGACTGAATACAATGGTACAAAATCATTCACAATGCCCCACTCTCATTCAACCTTTTACTTCGTTTAGAACCTGAGCACCTAATTCCTCTTTGATCATTTTATCTTTGTCTTTACGTAATCTTTTCTATTACTACTGATACTATTACTACTTTTCCTACTCTTGGATCTATCTTGAAATAATTTTATCTCACTGTGCTAATAGGGTATGCCAGGCTCTACGTTACGTATAACTGACTGACTTGTTATTCACTGTATCTCTGGTCGACGAACACATGAACTAACTAGACGATTAACATTTTCAATTGTAATCAACTTCGGTCAAAACATGATTAATCTGATCAACAAGATACATTTTAAGCTTTTCACTTATTTTTACTTTAAAAAGCTTAATCACTAAGTTAATGTCTAATTCATATTAGATCGATCTTTTGTTTCTATTTTGTAAGAAGAATTGAATCATCATTCAGAAAGGACTCTCTGTCTCGTGAATATACTTTGACCAATGCGTTAACTTAATACACGGCGATACATCTCGGTTTCCAGTGTAGACATCAAATATGAGTTTACTACCAGTTAATAAGTCACACACACACACTACCAGGATTCCACTGATCCAGCCATTGTTCCTAAAATTCTTATAAAAATCATATGATTGCTAGTGAAAAGATTTGTGGCGATACTTGAATTTGTAGCTTACATCACGAACTGAATTTAGCTATCCAGTCCTCCCAAGTTATATAAGTCTGACGGGTTACATAATTCACTCTATATGTGTGTAACTATTACACTAAATTTGACCAGTGCTTTCAGTTCTCTTCTTTTTTTCGTCCGAAATTCCAACCTTTCAGCTTATCCTACTGGAGGTGCCGCATATACCACTTTTCCTAATCTACATCATCAAGCTTTATCAATGCCTGTTCAACAGAAAGAGGGTACCAGGGAACTGATATTAACAGGTAAATTTATAGGTATTATTATTATCACTGCTCAATTGATTGAATTCACATAAAGTTGATGAGATCAATAGTTTGAAAGGAACAGATCTTAATTGTAGGACCTCTTCCGAACTAATCGTTCACCTTAATACTATATAATTTGCTCAGCTCCTAAACATTCTGGACGAGATTATGATTACATTTACTTACTTGTAATCATGTCAAAGACTTATGTTCTTGAGATCAAAGTCATTGATTATTGAGCTGAGTGTTATGGGCAAGTCTATACTACTAGGTTGTAGTCTTCACGATGATTATAAACAGTGTTTAGAGACGTTGAGTAGTATGCCTCAGAATCAGTTTTAATGGCGCAGATAGATTCACTTTCTGTCTTTACTTAGATCTTTATCTTTGAAATTACCTCATAATTATTCTGTTTATTTATTCGTCACTGGAATAATTTATTTTGTAGATGATGTTGGCTTTTCCTTCTTTTATCATTTGGTTTGCATAGAATTGACTGATGAGGTTTTGTTGATTTGTGTGCTACACCTACCCCAAACGGCTTCATCACCCTCGTAATTTCTGATACCCTTAACATATGGTTGGATGATTCGTTTGTTGGTTTCTGTACTTGATTTCGTTTTTACTGATGAATTGGGTTGATATTGTTCGATGAAGTTGCGTGGATAGTCATTCCCTTCAAGGATAGTCCCTGGATATATTTTGTCATTTTTCCTCGCTGCAAGTGTGACTCAGTGTTTTCTCATCCTCCATTATGGAATCACATCAAATATATGAAAATATCTTTAGAACATGATTATTATTTGAGTAAGAGTGCTCGCTGGATTGTTACGTAACCACGGCGTTTTATGTTCATTCTTTAGCGAGTTCTTTATGCTATGAAGTTATTTCTTGTTGTTTGTTGTCTTATTTATGTTTTTCGTACAGGTCCTGAAGGATGTAATCTATTCATTTATCATTTACCACAAGAATTCGGTGATAATGAATTAGCTCAAATGTTTATGCCATTTGGTACAGTGATCAGCGCTAAAGTTTATGTTGATCGAGCTACTAATCAAAGCAAGTGTTTCGGTAAGCTCTTAGCCATCTATCATTAACGAGTACTCATTTTTCTGGTCAATCTGTTTATCTGCTAGGGATTTTATTGAAAAATAACTGTGACTGTTGAAGTCGTATGTTTTTTCGTAAAAATATACAGTCATATATGGACATGAGATGTTAACAGGATACATATGGTTACATAATTGTGTAATAGTCTGTTTGACGATATGGTTCGTCTATCAAATGCTTGGCTTTGAGACAAATTTTATGTTCGGTTGCACCTACCGAAGTAGGATGAGACTCCATTCTAAGACAATTTTTTAGGTATCTGAAAACGAAACTAAGGCAGTAATGGTCTTTGAGACCTGGGAGTATGATAGCTGACCTTCCTAGTGTGTTAGAGGACCTAAAATAAGAAGTCTCCATATGAACGTAGTTCGATTTAGTCATCGTAATCTGCAAACTCGAGATCGCGTCAGAGGTACAGCAGCTACAGTCGAGAATTGGTCACTTTGTTATTGGAAGATTTGAGTGTTAACCGATCACAACTTAGAACCTGGTATTTATGTACATCGGTTCCAGTTGCTATATCCCATTAACATAAAGAGATGACGTTTTCAGGTCAAATCACAGAATAGTTGAAGTAGTAACAGTATCAGTGATGACAGAAAAGATTGGTTTCAAAGATACTATTGGAGAAGAAAATATAAATTAATGAAATAAAAAGGTGGGGAATTCAGATGCTTATAATTTGGAGGACGACAAAGAATACATACACCTACACTACTGAAGACGACTTTGAACGATGTTTTTCAAAGTCTCTGAACATTGTTTATGATAATCATTCGGAGTTCAACCAAGTAGTCTGCACCTATCAATATGGGTAAGTCCGAGTGTCATTGGTTTAATGAACTGATACCGTGTTTTGGCTTGACTTCCTCCGGATTTCTTTCAACCTACTCATTTATCAAACTGCATCTTCTGTCGAGGTAGGTGGTGGTTGGGCATCCATGACACATGTCCAAACCATCACACTTGATGAAGACTCACTACTTCACCAATCAATTTGATATCCTTAGTTAATACTCTATTCCTAACCTGAACATTGTTTAGTCGGTAGTCACAAAATACACCAGGAATTCTTCGAAAATATCTGCGATCGAATACTAATAACGTACGAATAATCTTTGATTCTTATTGGCCATGTTTCACACATAAATTAGAACGAAGCGAACTGATGCTCAGTAATCTCTTTGGTTGGAAGACGGATATATCACTTTTCTCACAAGTGACACAATTCGGCCAAAATCGATCGAGCCTTATGAATCCTTGCCAAGATTTCGTCAGTCACCAGAGCGTTAGGACTGATGAGACTCCCGAAATAAGTAAAGCAGGAGATGACTCCAACTATTTCAATTCCCATTGTTAGTTCAGGCGATAGCACAAACCAATCCTTAGGCATCATTTTGCATTTGTATGTAGGGAACCATATCTCAAATGTGCTTGCATTATTGATTTAGTTGATTAGATCATCTAACCAGTAAATCACTGTTTCAATGCGTTATAACTTGTGGATCGGCGTGCCCTGTTATTGTATAACGCAACGACACCAACCAGAGAGCAGCGAATTATCGATCGAATCAGTGACGCACAAAACACGTACGAGCGACCTAGAGTCCTGATTGGTTCTGCTTCCCTGTCTAGCCCAGCCAGTTGAGTTCAGAACACCAATCTCAGCCTCTGCAATATGAACCATGTATTTCAAACATACTGAGTTTATATACCAATCAAACAGACCACAACGTACCATAAAATATGAAAATAACATTTGTACAAAATATGGCCAAATGTGGCTGTGAATAAGGGAGGTAGTGATTAACGGACAGGGAATAATTCAAGAATGGTAAATCGTATAATAATAGTTCATAGGTGAATATAAAGTTCATAGTAAGAGGGGCATGAATATGAATAGTTTAGTTACATAACAATTACACGATAAAAATATACTCATAGTAATGGCCCATAAATCGATCCCAAGAATTACCATTCATTATTCTTATCGGAATGTAACACAATGTACTTGCCAATCTTTGATCATATTCGATCATAGGTGTCTCGTATATCCCGGGACCACTGAGTAAGTAATGCAGTTGTCAGGAAACGGGTACTAGGTAAGGATGAAGAAGTGAAACTTCATCAGTTAAGATGGCTAGGACACGTGTTACGTATGCCCAACCACTGACTGCCACGACGTGTGGTATTTTGTGGTGTAGGAGTAGGTTGGGAGAAAGCTAGGGACGGCCAGACCAAAACGTGGTACAAATCCATGAAGTCATTGACAAGTGGACTGAGTCATGTTGGTAGGTGTAGACTACTTGGTTGAACTCCGAATGATTATCATAAACAATGTTCAGAGACTTTGAAAAACATCGTTCAAAGTCGTCTTCAGTAGTGTAGGTGTAAGTATTCTTTGTCGTCCTCCAAATTATAAGCATCTGAATTCCCCACCTTTTTATTTCATTAATTTATATTTTCTTCTCCAAACCAATCTTTTCTGTCATCACTGATACTATTACTACTTCATCTATTCTGTGATTTGGCAACCGACGGTTAGAGACCTTGAATGATATGGCTCAAAATCGTTTGTAATGACGCAGCTGCATTCACTCTTTGTGTTCTCCCGAATTCGAATCTTCTGAATTTTTCATATCCCTTCCCTTTTTCTCTTTCCAAATTTATTTTCCTGGATTATACTTCTTGGTTAACATCTTCAAACCCTAATGTTTCTGATTACTGCTTATACTCTTACTACCTCTACCAGTATGAGATTTGAATCGAAAACTGCATCTCTGTGCTAATGTGGTATGACAGTTCAAAGTGATGTTCGTATGTACGAAGTTCTACGTTGTTGCTGACTGACTGAAATTCACAATGTAGACATTCATCTTGGAGAATACACACAGTAGATGCAATGATTCCATATAATTTTGCTGTGTATCATCATAATTTGAGTAATCTTCAATTCAATTTCTTTTTTTTTTACTTTAAATTTAGGTTTTGTCAGTTTTGATAATCATACAAGTGCTCAAAATGCAATTCAAGCAATGAATGGTTTTCAAATTGGTATGAAACGATTGAAAGTACAATTGAAGCGTCCTAAAGGTTAGTAGTAGTTAATTAAAGTTCTATGATTCCATGTGATTGAAAGGAAAATCTTAGAGATAATGCATTTCTTAATAATGAATTTCCTTTTATGTTCATGTAATTGGTTTATCTCTATTTGATAAACAAAATCTCATCAATAGAAGACTGTTAATTGTTATCTTAATCTGACTTACAAAGCATTTTATATTACTTACGTCTACTTATATGATCTTTCAGTAATAAATTTCATCATTGTAACTTTTTTTGTTGTTGAAAAATAATGTTGACATTTATTCCAAAATCCCATTGTTCTTCATTTATACTAACATGTATACATTGTTAGGCGGTAACACTTCATCAACATCATCATCGTCAAATACAAAATCTTCTCGTGATACTACTACTACTACTACCACGCATACTGGACAAAGACAAGACGGTGATTTATCTCTTCCTTCACAGGATTCTATATACTCTGAGGTAAATGTTACGACAAACATAGACGCACACACACACACACATTCGCTCTGAGCTGACCATTAATTAATGTTGATCTAATCTTGTTATCGGCTGAAACTTGATTGTACATATGTGTGTGTGTGCGTGCGTGCGTGGTGGTGCGTGCGTGCGTGTGCGTGTGCAACTATTAATTGTATTCTTGTATGTCGATATATGTGTTGTCGTCAACTTGATAAGAATATCGTGTCAGTGTAAATATTTGTTTATTTATCTATCACTGTCTACTACATATTTATATGTCTATCTGTCAATCTGTCTTTCCATCTAATTTATTATATTTGTCATTGTCAAGTTAATTAATTAATTAATTAATTATTCCTCATTCCTAGTTGTATGGATACATCATCATGTTTATTTGCTAATTTGTTTCTATGTTTATTGATATTTAATGAACTTGCATAACAACAAAGTGGCTATAAATTGATCTCAAAAACTTTTTTTTTCTATTGTGTACAAGTGTCTATTAAGTGTTTATTTTCAATATGACAAATTTGATAGGGAATTAATAAATGAAGAAGTAGGACAGATAGATAGATGGGTACAGTAAACAAATCTTAATATCAGAAAAGGTTTTTGTAGATATTATAATAGTTGAGATTATGAGTTCATTGAAGCTGTAGACCTACTGTGATGGAAAACTTGGAAGCATTGGACGACTGTTTCGTCTTATTGTGCGCATCCACAAGAATCAAACCTTAACGGACATGTAAATTCTAATTGGGAAGATTTTTGGATTTTGTTTTTGTTTAGTCTTCATATGTTTGATGGAGTCGGAGCAGTTAGTTAATAGATGTTATTAGTGATAATCTAAAATGTCATTTTTAGCTTGATAAAAAGTCAAATGTACATAAGCTTTAGTACTTAGGCATCAAAATTATATTAAATATAACTGTAATTATTGTTATATTTATTGTGCATTTTTATGGAGTTTTGTCCTCTGAGCTGGATGGTTTAGTTGTGGAGGTTCCAGCGTTCTTCTGAATGACATTATCAGCAGCATAAACTTTAGGTAGAAGTGAAGTGTTGAAATTTCTGCATATATGGTTCACAGTTTGTCCTGTACAACTCGATGTTAATTGGTTCTTGTTGACTGTAAACATGTCATTGTTTACTTCTTTGTTTTGGTTGTGTCTCCCATTGAACACTTCACTTCTACCTGAAGTTTGTACTGATGATGTCGTTCAGAAGAACGATGAAAGCTCCACGACTAAAACATCTAGCTCAGAGAATAAAACTCCATAAAAATCATTTACCTGAACTACACATCTTCTCCACCATCTCAATTGTACATTTTTATCACAAGTGGATTACTTCATTGATGTCATGATAATTTAATCCCGTTGGATCATATAGTCAATGTGTAGTGTTAGCCTAATATCAAAATCTCTTAATAAATTAGTTATATCCAACAAATCAATTCAAACACCAGACGTTTGCCCGTTGTTTTCTCAGTTTTTTAATGTGAATTTCACCACTGGACGTTTGGAGGTCTCCTTTTTTATGATCTTATAATTATTATTACTTTTCTAAATACTAAATGAATAAATTAGTGTTCCATTTTTTTCCTCATTCCCCCCCTTCTTATCAATATCATTGAAGGTTCTTGTGCTCTAGATGGTCTTGTGTATAAAAGGTTAAGTTTCAGAAAATTAACCAAATGATTAGCACAATTTCACATTACGTCTTATTTGTTGTAATCACTGGAACCGATGGAAGTGTTCCCTTTTTAAGATTATTGCAATCTTTTCCCAAAAAACAGATGAGTTATCGTTGTTTGTCCGACAGTGTCAGTGTTTAGTACTTTCTTTTTGATTAGGTGAAAACATTCATGTCAAGTTGGTAATGTGTAGTGTATGCATGTGTGTGTGTGTGTGTGTTTAGTTGTGTACATCACCAGCTTATAATTTGAGCGTTCAATGCAATAGATACACGGAAATATTCTACTTATAACATGTTCATCTATGGAGTGTCGGTTAACCAATTAAAATATCTAACTTCACTTTATTAAGTTCCAGTCGGAATGCACACTGAAAACCTCTCGGTACAAAAACAATCTAAATCCTAATGACATTCTTATTATTACGTAATATGTCCTAGTGACATTCATTTATCGTGTTACATATGTGTCGTTTCAGTTAGAGATGAAGATTTTTCGTTGTTGTTTCTTTCTTTCTTTTATTATTGTTGTTAGTCCATTTTTCATTTGATTACTGGTTCATGAAAAAAAAACAATCTTGGGATCTTCCGTTTTTTGTGTGCTCGTTTTATGTGAACTTTTCTTATCTGACTTGATTTGGCCCTTAAATATCTTCCTTATGTAATACATATCTATGTATTTATCTGTTCTCTCGACTGAATACCAATAATGTTGATGTATTATAATGGGGCTTATTATGATAAGTCCCTAAATTTTCACCCCTCTGAACTGCTTTGAAAGATTGACACCATACTATAGGTGTAATTGGTGGTAAGGAGAATTTGAATTGATATATGACTGAGAATCAAACACGGTGGCTCAATTCTTTCTATTTAAATGTCCGAATAACGCTAGTGGGAGTTGTGGTATGTAATGTATATAGATGGGTGGTTTATGGTTTGTCCGTAAAATCACTATCATCACCTACTAAGTGTTTCTTTATCATAATTATATAGAAGGGATTTCATGCTGATGAGTAACCATTAAGAAAACTGTTGATCCCCTATCGGTTTATAACATTTCACCACTATCAGACGAAATTGTTCAATGATTACCATTTGTTGAGAGGCTGACGAAACACTTTCCCGTTCAAATTTCTGATAACAGTTTACAAAATGAAGTTAATGAGATTATCCAGAAGCTAATTTTCGTCACGCTTTAATATCAACTGAGAGAGGTTGGAAATTATTAAAAAAATAAGAGATCAGTAGATGACAGCTAACTGTATGGAGCGCTTCAACTGTTGTACCTTATCAACGAGAATGTTTTCTTATTATTATTAATTTAAAATCCTATACTTCCATACTGAAATAAAACAGCTGTCCAGTACTTCTTAAGTCATATTATAACCTCGATCAAATTGTTGATCAAGATGTGAATGACATCACTCATAATCGATCACAGTGTCACAAATTCCGTTACCCTATTTATCCTTTTCTCTAGTAGTAGTTATATTAAACGTCTCACTACCACGTTCCCGTTTTTTGCTTCTCCATATTCTTTAGTGTTTCTCAGTATTACTTTGAGCGAACTTATCAAAAACTTGTTTTCATATTCATTTTATCAGTTTCATCTTATTCAAGCTAATTTCGTTAGGTTGCTTTTTTATGCCATACTCCCCCCCCCTGAAGTTGATTATAATAACTAGTTGACTAGGAAAAAATTTTCATTCGTTTTTGTAAATTATTACCATAGAAATGTGAATAGAAGTAAAAATAAATGTAACGTCATATTTATTGATTTTTTATAAAAAGAAAAAAAGAAATACACTAACAATATAAAAGTTTGGACACACCCCTTTTTCTGTTTATACAGATTAGGCTTCATTTATTGAAATCATGCTTAGTTCCAGTTTACGTCAAATAAGTTCGGTTGAAGACTAATCTGTTCGCCACGTGAACAACTGATGAATATCACGTAGTGTTTGACGAAAATGTAACATCCACTTTTAGCTTACAATTTCTATATATAAACAATTAATGCAGATACTAATAGACATGTTTGATCACGTTTTTATTCACTGGTTACTACGACTAATACTGCTTAAATGTTGCATGTGTTTACTCCCTGTCTAAACGTTTTTTTCTTTATTTGTTTGCATGTCTTTACATGTCATTAAATGATCAATTTGATAATGACGCTCTGCGTCATTTCTATTGGTGATGGTGATAATAATTTTGTTACTGCTGTGAACAATGAATAAAATGATTATGTTTCTATCTACCATAAAGCTCACACAATTGTTTGTTATATGATAAGTGTCATCTTTTACAATCATACTACAACAAATATACTTTGCCTTTTTTTTATCATGTTCATGCTATATCTTTGTTTTCGGTGTTCTTTTTTTTCCTTGTAGATAGTCGTAAGCCCTACTGAAACAGTCTCGGTCGCTCCGGTACCTGCTTTATGAGGTGTATGTAATGGATTGTTCCTCCCTCCTTTTGCTCTCTTCTTCTATTCCTGACAAATCTCAACAACACAGGTTAACTATATTTTTGTTGTTATACTCTCTTCTAATTGATACTATTCATCTGCCGGCTTCCATCTTGAATCGTATGATGGTAACTACGTGTGTCAATCTATGTTATGGCTCTATTCTTTTCATATGCTCAAATTTCTGCTCCTCCTAAATTATTTTTGCTAACTTCTGGAGTGCACACATTTATCTCTCACTACTGCGTCGCCCCCTATTCTTTAGCATTATTCTTCACCATTTAATCTATTGTATGGTCTATTTTTATTATTACTAGGCGGTCAATTTAAAAAATGTGTTTATCTAGATTCCTCTTTATTTTTAGTTTCCTGAAAGAGAATCAAATTGAATTTTCTTCTCCGTTTTTCCTTGCTTTGATGTTGTGTGACTCTGTCTCCCTCTCTGTATGTGTGTGTCGGGTGTCTCTCCCTATTCAGTTCGATTAATCTCTGCAATACAATAAATACAAATAAACAGAAACAAACACAGAATTTTGATAGAAAAAAACACCCTGATACATTCAATATGGCATTGTAGCGAAATAAGAGCCACTCTCCATTCACAGTATACATTTCAATGGGTCTTGTTCATTGACCATGTACTATTTTCACTGATTCATTTTAATAATACACAGAAATATTAATTGAGAGTATGCGTAACGAAAAAAGAGGGAGAAAGTCGCATTATTATTATTATTATTATCCCATCATTAAGATGACTGTTAATCTATTGTTTTATTGTATGCAGCCTCAGTGTTGTTTCTATGATTGTTGTCGTCATATGAGGAGGTGCTTTTTCTTCTTTCTTGCTTTTTCTCCATTTTCCACGTTTTTCTTTCTTTTCGTCTTTGAATATATTTTGTTATAATGATTGGTGGTTTGTTTTCTGCTCATTCCTTCGATTTTCACTGAGTCAAAATAGGGAGAGGGAGAAGGAGATACACACACACACACAGGTATATGCATATTTTTACATGATGAATGAATTGTCCATAAATAACAGATTTTGCTTAATTATCTTTGTTGTAAATGACCTATTGTCGTCATCACTACTGTTGTAGAGTTGTTGTGTTACTTTTGTGCATTACTGAGTATTTTTTTGTTTGTTTGTTTGTTGATAAAACACCTTTTTTTTCCATATGGCATATCGTTTCATTATGATTGAATATTTTTTCAAGAGAAAAAACAAACAAACAATTTAAACATTCCGCTTACTGTGGTTATTTGTTTCTCTCGACGATTTGGTTCTCTCTCTCTTCAACGATCGATGTTGCATTCGTTTATATTTGTGTTCGTCACGAGTTCCATTTGCATTTTTAACATTTTCCATCTATATTATCGCTAATAATGTTGTGTATGAGCTCTGGCACGTTCATTGAATATAATCACAATAGAGTACGTTTATAATTGATAGTATCCATTTTGGTTACTTATCCATCCATTCGTCATTATTCTTATTATCTACTTAAATGATCTATTTTAATGATGAATAAATAGCAAGTTGATTATCATTAGTATCATTGCAAAAAGAAGAAAAACAGAGAACATACACAACAAATGAAGAAACTAGATTGTTTTCGACGATTTTTCTCCTTTTCTTTTTTGATGACCAATTATTTACCTCCATTATATATTATATACATTATTCTTTCAATATATTTTTTAAAAACATAATTTTCATCCATTTGTCTTGGCTACATACATTCCTTTAATTCAATTATAGAAATGGAACACATTTTGTGAGATGATTTTTTGTTGTTGTTGTTGTTGATACTCATGTGTAACGCTTTCTACACATCGACTACGATTGTTACAATAACGGTAGAGGAGAAATAAAAGAAGGTTATTTACAAGCTGAAGTCCTACTGTTGTTGTTGTTGTTGGTGATGATGATGATGATGATGACGGTGTTTCTATATTGTTGGTAAAAACCATAGACATATTTCTCTTATTTTTCTATACCATGATATACTACTGATAAGCAAATTGTTGTTGTTTTCCTTCACACACTCTCCATGTTTTACTATCCACATACCCTTATCCTTTCATTCACATGGTTATCTGATCCACACACTTCAAAATACACAGAGACAAACTTAGAGAAAATCTTAATTTCACTCCCAAAGAAAGTAGACGAGACATTATGATATACAGCGCAATACAACATAACAGACAAGTGAAAGCTTCAGAGGAACTAAGCAAAACGAATGCATTTAAATTTATTTTTGTGCTGTAATTTACTAGGGTTTTTTTTGTTGTTACCGATGATTATGTTGATGAGACCGCATGATTTACATCGATACCTCTTTACTTCTCTTCTAATGAATATATATAAATGCGATTGTGCTGTTTTCCTGTATGCGTATAACTGAGTATGTGGTTGAGATTTTAAAGTGTGTGTGTGTGTGTGGAATGATCGGATATACGTTGAACAGTGATATACTGGTCAATAATGATATTAGATTTACCGGTTTCTTTTTCATAGATATATCTTCATAATCCGTCTATTCAACCCGCAAATCGATAAATAAATAATTAAATGGGTGTGGATACACTATGATATATGCAGAAATAAGATTGTTCTTTACATATACACACAGTGGTATTTCGTTTTCAGTTTTGGAGAAAATACACACCACTACTGTCTCCGTTTCTTGTTTCCCCATCTTAGGCGTTTTTTTTATTATTATTACATATTAGTCAGTTTTTCTCTCCCTATCCGATTCTATCATTTTTACTACCATGATGAATCTATAGTGTATAATGTTATATGCCTCTCATTTTTACAATTTCTATGATTCTTATGTTGAACACACTTTAAAAGAAATACACATGAATACACTTTTCCAATGCATCACTTACAAGCAAACTGTACGTGATAATGTTAATTATAATACTAACACTATTATGACTATTAATGATGATGATGATGATAATAATACTAATAATTCTTTACAATAAACCTGTTCTTTTTCTTCTCTCCGATTGGCATTGTCAAAGTGTATAACTACAAATAATTGTATAGATGCAATAATGAAGTAATGTTAGGAATGTTAACTTACTGATTAAAACAGTTGATTTTCCAATGAAAGACGTTCTAGATCTAAACTTTCTTGCTTTGTCTACGTTGATAAGATAATAGAATTAGGTCCCGAATTCAAGGAGTGTTTTAGCTTAAGTCTCTAAGGACATGAAGTTAGTACTTTGTAAATGATTTGGCGACTCTGGATGACATGGCTCAGAATCGATCACAATGGAGTAGGTGTATACACTCTCTGTCTTCCTTTAAACTAAGAGATAAAAATCGTTCCATATCCTTCATTTTAGGTACTAAATCTTTCTTCTTGTACTATATCTTTATATGCAATCTTTGTTTTATATATTACCACCATTGAAGTAACTACTTTTGTGAATCCGGTGTTGATCTTGTTGTGTTAATGAGGTATAGCAACTTGGACCAATGCATATATGTGCATGGTCCAACGTTGTAGCTGACTGACTGAATGTAAATGATGTAACTTTGATGCTAAAACGAGGCCATAACAAGTAAATACCGGCAGGCCCCCAAATGCCCTTGTACGGCCGAGAGTGGGGAGAGTCAACTCTCCCTCTCGAAATGCTCTCACATGGCCACGCGTATACAGCCTCTACCACGGAAGTCCTACTCACTTCCTTCCCGTGGCACTACTGTTACTTACGAAATTAAGAGGACGAAAAGTGAATGTCCGGCGCTTTAACCTGGTTGGTGGGCATGGAGAGTTCACCTAGGGGAGTTGGAAAACCCTGATTGCAAACCAATGCTCCAAATGGGCTCCAGGATCCTGGGGGGAACAAATGGCGTACGAACCAATTGTTGGTCACCGGCTTCCATGAGACTGTATGTCCTTACGTTGCTCCACTGCCTTGTGGATCAGACCTTCATGTCGAAGGCTTCGGGTGTGCCCCCCTAAGAAAACCACCTGTCTCGGTTTGGGCAGCCGAGCAGTATCCCAGCCCTCACACAAATTAAATGAGATTTGTGTGTCGCATATGTATTTGGTGCCTCATCGTACCAATATCTATTTGTTTTGTTGAGGAGTGCTAAGTAGGGAAGATGTATTAAATTGTTCATAAATGAGTAGGCAGATTTGAATATGAAACTTAAACCGAGGTTGGTTTTAACTTATCCTTATAATCAATAAGGAGTTTTGTGGGTGTTATAGTAATTTGAAAGTTGCGTTCATGAGTCAATTGAAGCTAGACAAGCATGGGAAATCTGGAAGCACTGTCGTGGGACTCCTCAGCAGTGCACATCCACGACCGTTGAATACCGGCTCCGTGGTCTAGAGGTTAAGCATTCGCCCACGAGAGATAGGTCCTAGGTTCGAATAGTAGATGAAGACTGTTGAGGAGTCCCACACTAAAACGAAACGGCCGTCCAGTACTTCCAGGTTTCCCATGGTGGTTTAGCTTCAATCTCAACTACTAATGTTAAATTATCCTTATAAACTAACATCACTAATTGACAAGACAGTAAAGTTAATGATAATGAAATGACTAAAGTGTATTCATTCGCTTTTCCTGTGTGAAAAATAATAATGAAATTCTTTTGGATGATAGTCACATCGTCAGTTATTTGGGTAGATAAACCAAAATTTTAACTCGTTAATACTTCTGTTTCCGTACAGAATTATCGGTACCATATAATGAAACGGGAAGAAAGTTGAATTCTTCGTGTTTTTATTTAAGTAATTTGAGGACAATCAGTAGGAGTCATCCTTGATGTTGTCACTCGTCAAGAAGATGTGATCTGTGATATTGAAGAAACAAGTCGTCTCTGTTGGATTCGAACCCAGTGTCTTAGCCACATTTCATATAAGTCTTGCTAATGATTCACAACTTGTATGAAATCTAGATGAAATGTGGTTCACTTAACGTTCTTCTCTAATTATTCAACACTAATGTATAGTTTACTCCATGTTGCTACTTCAGTGAGTGAACTAGATAACTAGTAGATAAATAACATTCAATCATCTCAAAAGAATAGACAAACGTGCCATTGGTCACCGTTCAGTGATATTAGTCAATGTCTAGTTCTTCTTCAATAGGAGCTCTTAACTTGGCTGCTATTAACAAAATTACATTTTATTCCCAGTCTCGACATAAATAGACATTGATTTATTCATTCATTTCTCTGTGATTTTTAATCACTAACCAATTAGTATTGTACACTCTGCAAGTCGACTGCCTGGGAGAGGTGTGACAGCAGTAAGGTGTTTCCCTCGGACAACCAGCATGACAGCGATGCTGCCTTCCCACAAGGAGGGATGGGGTTAGAAAAGGTCGACCCTAAAAATGCACACCTCACCTTACCTCACGGATTTCCGTCTCCGGCGGTAAGGCCCTTTGAAGAACGGAGCTAACACATTAAAACCTTCCACACCGTCGCGACCGGCCTCAACAGTTGTCCCTTCGGCTCTGCGGTCCCCCCAGGTCGTAAGACCAACCTAATCCATTTCCTTTTCAGGTTCCTCAAGAAATACCCTTCCACGGTGTGGGCAGCCGGGAAGTGACATCAGCCCTCATACCCGTAACAGCACAAGAGACCAAGGTGGTCACATTCAAATCCTTCCTACACCTACTTCCCCGCAGGGCAAACGATTCGATACGTGGATCCACGCTACACCGTGGAGCTTTTACGTACTTGTACACTCTTCTGAACAGGTTGTCATTTTAATGTAGCTAAGATATTCTAATGTGATTGTAAATATGAACCTGACTAAGTGAATATTTAATGTACACCGTGTGAATAATCTAATATGACATCTGTTAAGAAAGTGTTAGGTTAAACTATATATCAATTATCTATTCAACTGTATTAACTCCTCCTGGAGCCCTTCTTGGGATACTGCCGGTCGCAAGCCCAGGTGAAGAAGGAGGGTTGGGCATGGGGTTACCGAACACATCCCATAGAAAACTAACTCGCTAAAAAAACGCTAACCAGAAAATACTTTTCAACTGTACTAATATAAGAGAGTTAAGATAATGTTTTAACAAATTCAGTTCTGAGGACCATCGGATGGTGTTATTAGTCTTCATAATCAAACACTGTAACTCCAAAAAACCACATCAATTAACACTTATGTTTGGTATATGATTTAAAACAATAAATAACTGTATTACTTCCAAACAGATGAAACAATACAGTATGGATAGGCGCAAAGTCATTTCTTTTACAATAGTTAGTCAGTGATCTGAAAGTTAAGTACACGCCGTTAGACTTGAACATCAAGGGATAGATCCCTGATGAGGTCATGGATACGCACTATATGAGGTGCTTGTGCTAAAACCGAATAACTGGCCAGTACTTCCATGTTTCCAGTGATTGCCTGACTTAAAACAAACTGAACAATTCAACAATATAAATCCCTATGCTAATAATAATGATATATATATTGGTCACTGATTTTTGAGAGATAGTTCCCCGAGCTCTAATAAAAGTTCGTAATTGATTGAATTGAAGTATACAAACCAATAGTTGATATCTCAATGGTCTATAGGTTAAGCACAACTCTCGAGACTTGAGCTCGATCCCTGGTGGGATCATAAATGATCACTTTTTATGAATCCCATACTATGGTTATCTAATTAAGATCAATTCACAATGTATACCTATAAAGATAATCAGGAATTACAATTTAAACAGAATAACATGGATTCCGTCCAGTTCTCACCTTGATTGATTAAGAATCTTAATTTTCCATTATCATAACAACAAATGGCAGTAACTATGAAACTGTCCGGAAGTGAATGTTAAAAACTATTTTTATTACAATAACGTAACACACAAATGATTTAAATAAGAAAAAGGTGAAATAGGAAAGTTTAATGAATTAGTTTCCATGTCCTTTTTCTTTCTCTCTTTCTAAAAGAGGATCTCGTTAAACAGTTGGTGTCGTAGCGCTCCTTTTTTTATTTAAAAAAATGTTCCCCTAATTATTATCATTATTATTATTATCTCATATCCTTTATATGTTACAGCCAATAAACCATAAATCGATCGATCGATCAACCTTGAATCAGAAACGTCCCAGTTATGTGACTTTTGAGTTTTTTTTTCAGACTATATGACCTTGGCTTGTTTTTTTTCCATCCAATCACATGAATTACAACTGTGAATACAGCATAAGGTGTTTGTGACCATACTTCTGATATTCTGATTGGTGGTTTAAGAATGTGGGAGTTTGTGTGGATTATTGATCGTATGATGAAGATGTCTAATGAGGTCAGTAGATTTATCGTTGATTATACACTTTGGAGAAAAGCAGGAAGAGTGTGAAAACAATCCATTACACTTGATACATATTGACTGTATCCTTAAAAGCAGATTTTACGGTGAGACTATAATTTATAGACGACCTTTGAGCGACTCTGTAGTGACTTTGAGAGTGTCCACCTAATAACTATGACCAAATGAAGGTAATAAATTAGTGTGAGGAATTCGAATGATGAATTACATTTGATGGTTAAGATTAGGAATTAGATTTAGGTTTTCAAATCACGAACTGACATCAGCTATAATGCCAAGACTCTATTTAGCCAAATGGATGAGTGAATTTCGCGCCAAAATTCGAGACCTATTATTTTATATCTGATTGGTTCATGTATAAATTATAGTCTCGCCGATTTTACAACTTCGATTAGGATAACTACATAAATGGAGAAGTGTTATCTGTGTTACATACAACAGTAGACTTAGGACTTAGATATTCCCAAGACTTGTCGTTTACAGAACAGATATTAAAACAGACCTCTAAGTCTCAACGTCTAATAGGTTACATAACTCGAAATCTTTACAACACTGAGTCTCGTATTCTAATGTACAAAGTTTGTTCTCGACCACTTCTAGAATATTGCACGTTTATTCTTAGCAGTGCGCTCATAAAGGATAAATTAAGACTGGAATCAGTACAGAGA